GATCCTCCTGCCTCAGCCTCCCAAGTGCTGGGATTACAGCTGTGCGCCACCACGCCCGGCAATAGGCCTCTTTGATTAAAAATCTTTTTTTCAGTTAGAGGTAATTACAAAACAGCAGAGAAAGGCAAAGTCCTCCTGCCCACCCACTTCTCTGCCTAGCGCTAGGACAGGAGTTCTCCTTCCTCACAGGCGCCTGCGCTCCCGGTGGCCGCTGCCGTTTCCTGTGCTCCAAGCCTGCACTCACTCCTCCCTGCAGCCTCAGCTGCTGCAGGCCACTGCTCTCTGTTGAAGATGCTGCAGAAGCCGCTGTTCTAACCCGCTTCACTGACGTAATACTCTTGAGGTTTCTCCTGCATTCTAAGCACTGTGTGTTCATAAACTTGGCTGTTTTTCCCTTGTTGATGTCTTTTTTTTTTTTTTTGAGACAGGGTCTCACTATATGTAGCCCAGGTTGGCCTTGAACTCATGGTGATCCTCCTGCCTCAGCCTTCTGAGTACTAGGATCACAGGCCTGTGCCACTACACCTGGCTTTGCCAGGCAAATATTTAATGAGCATTAGAAAATACCAAAACATATTTTGTTTTGAAAAGTGCAAAAACATCTTTTAAGCAAGTGATTTGCTTTTAATTACAAATACTGTGCAAGAGGACCCCTTCTACAGCAAAACAAGAATAAATTTTAAACATGTGAATTATTCAAGATATTTGAAAGAGAAAAAGCCTAGGTTTTTTTCAGTATTTAGGTAAATTAGGTATTTCTCACCTTTCAAAGTGTAAGCCTGAAGGTATGACTTAAATGGAAAAGACTGAGAAAGTCAAACCAGGCCTGGTGGTGCACTCCTGTAATCCTAGTACTTCGGAGGCTGAAGCAGGAAGACCACCATGAGTTCAAGGCCAGCCTGAGCTCAAGGGGATCAGCACCATTTCCAGCTTGCTCCAGTGTCCCTGTTGGCTGTATGGTTTTAAAGAACTGCTGGTGACCACGCTGTTTCTCTAAGAGCAACAAGACACAGCCGCCCGCACAGGAGTGAATCAGCCCGTGCTCGGCAGCCCGAGGAAGACTCCTGTCCGCGGGAGACTGCATCCTGTCCTGCGGGGCAGGACCGAACTCCTGCTGACCTCGCTCGGCGGCCGCAGCATCCCAGGCAGCACTGGTGTGCGGCAATGTCAAGTCACAGCAGGGAGAGGCTGGGACAGTGCTGAACCCACCACGTTCTCCAGAGCCAAGTTGCCCAGGGGTCCTGCAACTGGGACAACGTATGAGCTTCTGGCGACAGTTGCTGTTATCAAGGGGGCCACTCTTCCCTTGAAGAATGGACGGTGACAGGGAGTCAGAGCACAGGGACACTCGCTGGCCAGGGCACTCATTATGCAAGATGACGGCAGCTCTGGACGGTGCGCACCATGAAGCACGAGCCAGGCAGGAAGATGAGCTGTGGCTACGGCTGCCTCGGAGAGGAGGTGAGAGGCGATCGTACACATGCGCACACCCATTCCCAAAGCCCGCAGTGCACTTATCGCGAGAACCTGAGCATGGTTTTGATAGGCTGACCTGGACGGGAGCCGGCATGGGAAGTATCAAAGAGCGCTCCTCGCCATTAAGAGTTTGCTATCATATCTCTTTTGGGTATACCGTCGTACCTTGTTGGGTGTATTTTTAATATTTTTTCTACGTTTTTCTTACCTTTACTTGGCCCAAACTCACATAAATGTGGAATTTTGCTGTTTATGCCTGTTTGATTCAATTCTTTAGGACAGAAAGAATCTAGAAATCCTCTCTAGAAGGAGACTCCGTACCCTCATCCCCAACCGTGCCTGGTAACACCAGGAGGGGAGGCGGTAGCAGTCAGATGGCTCAAATGCACTCTGTCACTTTCCCCTCCACGGTGTGACCGCCAGACACCCTGGGCCTTTCACTCCCGCAAATGCCACACCCCACGGGCCAAGTAGGATTCTTACTCTTCAGCAAATAGCTTCTCTTATCAGGAAAGCCAAAATCAGGACCCTCATTCTTATCCCTTTCTTTTCTAGATGATCACTCCCTGGACTTTTCTCCACTCCTCCTAAATCTTATCTCATTTACAGCCTCTGGGCGTGGTGGTGCATCCCTGTAATCCCAGCACTTGCGAGGCTGAGGCAGGAGGATAGTCACGAGTTCAAGGCCAGCCTGAACTACAAGGTGAGACCCTGTTTCAAAAAACTTAAGTAAAAAGATAAATAAATCAAACATCATGCGCCCCCACCTGACTTCTGCCACCACCTTCTGACAGGTAGCTTGGATATTTTTAACGCTCCTTAAAGCTATCTTTCAGCTTGTCCAAGAGAAGGTCAAGGTCTAGGGGGACAGGCTGGTGCCAGAATGGAAAGATGTGGGCTTCCCGGGACTGTGATCAAGTGACAAGATTGTGTTCCAAAGGAATGAGTACTCCCAGCTCCAGCCATTCGTTGTGTTCCTGGCATGAGAATCCACTCTGGCTAAATCTTTGATTACTGAAAGAAAGCTGAGAAGACTTGTAGAGAAACCTCTGAGTTTCTAAGTGTTTCCAACTGCTTGGACCAATCAAAAACTGAATTTGAGCTTTGGCCTGGGCTCAGTGATGCTCCTCTTCTGAAGTCTCCTCAGACATGCACTGACTACCAGATACGATTTCGGTTCCTCACATGGCAGTGGCAGCTAAATCCATTTGTTTTCCTCTCCCAGTAATTCAAGCTTTTACCTCAGTAGCTCTTATATCACTAAGCTCTGGCCCTGGGGGAGAGGAAGATGGAGACAACTGGAATAAAGGGGATGTTTGCTCATTCTGGGTTTAGAAATTAAAAGAAAAATAAGACAAGGGTTAGTGGGTGTGATAGTGCACACCTGTAATCCCAGCTCTTGGGAGGCTGAGGCAGGAGGATTGCCTTGAATTTGAGGCCAGCCTGAGCGACATAATCGAGTTGAAGGCCAGCTTGCACTACATAGTGAGACTCTGTCTCTAAAACAAACAAAAAGTTCAGAAATCTGGGAAGAATGAGGGATATGAGGAAGTTCCCTGCTCACAGTGGAAGAAGAGCCCAAGGGAAATGAAAGGAGGAGGGAAGGGAGGAGGCAGGGAGAGAGCAGAGAACCCTTGGGCACGGAGGAGTAGGTGGGGAGAGCAGAGGCTCAGCTGAGGAAGCACAGAATGCTCTGGAATGACAGGGGACTGCAGGCCTTGCGGAGAGGCAGTGCCCAGCCTGCTCCACCACCTGTGTGATGCAGACAGCATGGCGGAGAGGCTGAGGACAGTGCACCCCGTGGAGCCTTGCTGAGCTCTGTGCTCTGAGGCCACTGCATGGTGCCCAGGTCCCAAGGGAGGGGAGCATGAGGTCCCTGACAGGAGCCCAGAGACACCTAGAAACTCAGGCCACACTGTCACCGTGGATCATGGCATTGAGCATACTGTGACCAAGCAGGTCATGCTGTACTGTAGAGGCCACTGGGAGAGAAGCCCACAGTGGGGAGGACATGAGTGACTCAGCAATGCGTGAAAGACAGGACAGTCACCTCTGCTAATGCAAGACAACACATGGAGCAGGGCACGGTGGTGCATGGCTGTCATCCCAGCACTTGGGAGGCTGACACAGGACGATTGTCTCAAGTTTGAGTTCCAGGCTAGCCCGGGCTACATGGGAGACCTTGTCTCAAAAACAAAAACAAAAACAAAACAAAACAAAAATTCCAAAAATAAAACAACAACAACAAAAAAGTAAAGCCCATACATGGTAGGGTCTTATCCACAGTCCTAGAGAAGAGCAGGTGCCATGGTGTCAAAGAACAAAGGCTTCATGCCATTGTTTCAGATGGAAAGCAAGGCTGCTCAGGAAGCAGCCACAGGACAGGCCTGCGGCCCTGCCTGCTGAAAGGAGAGAACGAGCTCGCCTCGGACTCCACCAAGGATAAGAGGAGACATAGAGCCAGGGAGAAGGCCAGGAGTTTGTGGGTGGAAAATTCCTGGGAGGAAACACCAGGGAAAGGGGAATTCTCAGAGCGGCTCAACAGAATTCTTGCTGAAGGCAGGCCAGGGCGATAAATAATGAGGGTGGGGGTGGCGGAGACCGAAGTTGGGGGATTTTTGTTCTGTGGACTGAGCAAGGTTCTTGCTCACACTGAATTCTGCAGAGACAGAAGAATGCCCAGGAGCAGGCGTTAGGAACAGAACTCGGGCCTGACTCACAGGCGGAGAGGAGAGGCAGCCGGAGGAGGTGGACAGGAATCCCGGTGACCGGGTGATTACCCGCCAGGACGGTGGCTGAAGCATCACTTGGAGGGGCTGAGGATACTGAAGGCGCAGAGAGCGAAGCGGGGTGGACAGCAGCCCTGAGTCCATCTTACAAAGTCAGTTGTGCCGTCTGGGCAAGCCTGTCTCCTGCCTTCCCGGTGCTGCCCTTGCCAGGGGGATCAGCAGCAGAGGAAGCGCCGCAGTCTCCATGGGTGCAGTGTACCCTCACCAGCAGCGCCCGGCCTCCGGGGCCACCGAGTCCGTTCTCCCAGTTCTCCCTGCCGCTGTAGCCGCCCTAGTGCACTCATCTCCGCAGAAGGAAGCTCCTCAAAGGCTGGGACAAGCCTCACTCACGTCCTCAGCCCCAGCCCGAGGCCAGGCGGGCAGGAGTGTTCGGTGAACCGTAGGTGATGGATGAATGGCACACTCCAGTACAGGTGGCCAAACCGCAGTGGATTGAACAGACCCAGCGCCTTCCCGCGGAAGCTGGTCCCAGGCTCTGCAGCTCCGCACTGATTCAGGGCAGACCCCGGGCGATGTTTCATACTGCTGTTCGCCACCAGCTCCTGTGCCAAACAAGTGCAGTCAAGTAGAGGCAGAGAGTAGAGTTTTGTCTCTGGGGAGAAGAAGAGAGGGGCAGCCTGGGGCCCTGTGGGCATGTAGGTCCCCTGGGGGGCCAGCAGTATCTCTTCACAGACTCTCGGTGTGATGCAGTCACTCACGGCCCCACACTGGCTTTAGTGGGCTGCCAGAGGAGCCATCTTGAAATTCCTCGGGACTTGGTGAGACCCTGCATTTTCATTTTGACTTGGGTCCTGCCAAGCTGGTCTTGAAGCTGGTCCCAGCTGGGAGACACCAAAAAGGGAGGAAAGGACACAAAGAGACAAGCACTAGAAAAGTGATGTCACACACCCCTTGTTTTGCAGGAGGCCTAGTGGCTGAGCCTTCAGTGTGGGCAGAAGGACAGAGGCAACAGACAGCCCCAGGGTGAGCGCCAGCTGCTGCCTCCTGCATCTCGGCCACATGGGCAGGCCTCTGAGACACCCTGGGGACCCCATCACCGGCCAGCCACCTGTAGCACTTGAGTGACGCCATCTGGGTTGTGCCATTGATGGCTCAGGCTTCCTTCCTTTGGAGCAGACGACGAAGCATTCCATGTCCTTTGCTAATGTCATGCCGCTGGCCTTATTAATGCTCCAGGAGGTCACCGGGCAGCAAGGGTGATCAGAGCCACCCCATACACAAAGTAGCAGCTACAGCTGAGATGCTAGAGATTATTCAATGCATGTATTATACAAAGCTGCACTTCATTTGGTGAATAACCAGTGGTTACAGCTTGCTGGGAAAGAGTCCTAATCATTAATATCCTATCTCAGGGCCAGGAAAATACCATGTTGGTGAACACACGGTGGCTGGGTATTTCGCCCTTTCCCTTTTGAAACAAAAGATGACAATCTGCTTTATCTAATACGTTTCCTCAGTGCGTTCATCACTAGTACTGTCATCTTCCTTTCCAGATAAGGGCTCTTCTCGCACCACTGGCCAAGCCTTGCTGTCTTCACGTGTCGTGTACTTGTTCTGAGCACAAACTGGGAGGAGAACTGGTAGAACACTTTGTTCTTCCCCTCGCACTGGTATGAGGCTGAGAAATGACAAGGGCTGCATGAAGGAAAGTCCCCTCTTTGTCATTTTTATGAACATCTTTATAAGCATTTCATCTCTTTGGCTCTCCGCTAAACTTCAAGCGAATCCGAAGCTAATCCTTGTCCTCGGGCAAGGAACTTAATATCTCAAACACGTGGGGGAACACACACAGACAGCTCTTCACTGCTGATGGGCCTGTAGGTACCCAGGAGTGTGGTGCAGGCATTTTTCAGGCTGCAAGCACAATGCAGTAAAGATCAGAGGAATGTTTCATTTTAATTTAAGGAGCTGAACACAGAGGGATTTTGCTAATCCTCAAATTAAACAAGTCTTCCAGAGTCACAAACCAGCACAGCTCCCGTGGCCAGGGGAGCCCCAGTCACTGTGTGTGGTGCTCTGTGCATGGTCTTTGGTCTTCCATGCAAGTCACATTGTCAGCATTGGATAAATATTTGTTTAATGATAAGGGATATGCATTTAAATCCTGTGTTCCCATACCGAAATTTCATTTCAGCTCTTTGAGTCCTGTGGAAATCACAGAGTAAAAGTCTGTTAGTGCTGTGGAAATAATAAGGTAGCAGTAAGAATAGCCAGACCTAGTGGTGCATGCCTGTAATCTCAGTACTCAGGAGGCTGAGGCAGGAAGATTGCCATGAGTTTGAAGGCAGGCTGAACTACGTAGGGAGATAGTGTCTCTAAATAATACAAAACAAAACAAGTTAGGATGAAGGAGGTCTCTTTTTATCGCCTGTCTCCAGTGACCTCTCCCTTGCTGCTCACCCTCAGGCCCCTCTACCCAGAATCAGAAGAAAGAAGCCAGCAAATTCAGGGGCTGATCTTGCCCCGGTTAGAACTGGCTCTTCCCTGTCCTGACGGGTAACCAGAAACCGAGGTGCCTCGAAGCTGTTGTTCGTCCTTTCCTATGGATGGTGTGGCCTATTACCCTCCTTTTAAATGGTACACTGAGGGAACGCAGACTTTCTGGAATAGCCTATTCATCTTTGAAACACACATTAAAAAAATAAGTTGTTTCTTATGTTGAATTGAATGTCTCTTTTGGATTCCTAAACTCAGCTTTGAACTTCTGGGCGGCATGCTATTCCCTCCCTCTGCCCTGCCTGATAAGCAGCAGTGTTCGTGGGACAATGGGCATCTGGAAAGGGCCCCCTGGTGTAAACACAGTGGGAAGTTGGGATCCTGCACCAATCACAGACATGGTGAGAAAAAAGGGAGGAAATTAAAGGAGTTAGAAAAAAGGGGAGCATGGCTAGGAGTGGTGGTGCACGCCTGTAATCCCAGCACTTGGGAGGCTGAGACAGGAGGATCATTGTGAGTTCTAGACCAGCCTGGGCTACAAAGTGAGCTCAAGTACAGCCTGAACTGTGTAGTGAGACCCTGTCTCAAAAAGACAAAAAAA